AGAACTGCTCTGCAAATTACTTGTAAACTTTGCTCCTTCTCCCCTTAATTGTCCTAGTCCCTCCCTCACCCACCTACCATAGCTCCCCCACACATTCAACACACATGCACTTGTCTCTTTTCCACTTTTCTACAACATGACGGACCAATGGAATAGGCAGCTCCTTTTTAGTGATTAAGGCCAAAGGGGAAAAAGGAAGCTCATTATGAAAAGAGGTTGGAAACAAACTGAGAGTTGCTGGAGGAAGGTGGATGGGGGATGGGGTGACTGAGTGACAGGCAGTAAGGAGGGGGTGTGAGGGGATGAGCACTGGGTGTTATATGCAACTGATGAGTCTCTGAACACATCTGAAACTAATGATGTATTCTGGGTTGGCTAATTGAATTTAAATAAAAAAAGAGGTTGGATTCTCTTATTTGAGCAAATAACGTACTTCAAAATCATAATTATTGAAGATGGACTCTATAGGGTATTTAAATAAATATCTTTTCTTCAATTTTGATGATGGTTTGATTCTATAACATACATACTCCCAAAAGCGCTGCAAATCTGCAAATGACTTTAATGATAACAATAAAGGCTCAATAATTTAAGACTTTAGGTCAATCACGCTTCTTTATATAGCCTTGTGCATAAATCAACTCTACTGCTATTTCAAAATACTGAACTTAAAATCACATAATGTAAGAGAAATATATTCACTTGAATGACCATTTCCCCATTCTTTGTAGATCAAATGATTTTATCCTAATCACCCTATCATAACTGTCCTTTCAAAAGAAACCAAAGATCTCAATTAATCCATGATCTCTTGTCAATGCTTACAGTTAAGGTGATATATTCAACTTTCAGTCTTTTAACAAACTTAACCTTTTATTGGAGTTCATGATACCAAATTACTTTTTATTGTCTTCCTAGATTTCAGATTAAATTTTGCCACCACCCCTTAACCAAAAAAAACCCCAAATCCTTACTTTCTCTTAACTATGAATGGTCTCCTGGGCTTGTTGATTTGTCTACATTTTATCCTTGAATATCTTTATATGTTCCCTTAGTTTTCAATGACAACATCTCTGTTGATAACTCCCAAATCTCAGAAGAAAGGTATGATATGGTAGGAAGACTGTTGGGTTAGGAATGTGAACATTTGTTTGGTTTGGCGTCCTGTTGCCTGTAATTTTGATGAGTGACTTTATTCCACTTAATGAGTGCGTGTGTGTGTGCCTGTATGTGTGTATGTCTGTGTGTGTGTGAGAGAGAATGCACTGGTTCCGGTATGAAGTATATTTTTTAAAAAATAATCGTTGTGATGAACTAAATAGAATCTAATTCCATTTGGGTGGTTTTGTGTCTTGATTTTGGTTCAATCTTTTAACACGAAAGACTTAAATAGTAATCTTTTAACATAAATAAGAGCAATATCCATTGTGATAGATGTTCTAGAATTTAAATATGAAAACAGGCTTTATGTGGCTAAGTTGTCTAATTAATTATATTATTTGGGGAAATAGCTTTATCCCAGGCTAAACTGACCTCGAATATTAAATGAAATGGTTTGTCCTTCATTTAAATTAAGGTGCCAGACTTGAAACTTGCATATTTCAACCATATTGGAAGTGGCAGAGTGAAAGAACCATGGGAAAAACATTTCTGTTGGACAACATCAACAAATAAATGAATGTACTTGATAGTCAATTCATCACAAAATTGGTAAAAGAACCTCTTTGGAACTTAATATGTTTCTTTGTAGAAATAGGTATCACATGTCCTTGATGAATAGGCCATCCTGAGAATGAAGCTCAGCCCCACTGGAGGGAGGATAATAACATCATGAAAGTCCAGTGCTCTACCTTCTGGGAAGGGCTTTTCTGTGGCTTGCTGTTCCAATTATAAATTAATCCTCACATCTGGGAAAAGCAGCTATCGGGCTGATTTTGTTGTTAATCTCTATTTTACAGACATGGAATGCTGGGAAACTTGAAGTGACTTGCAATCACTCACCCAGTCATAACCAGAGCTGGAACTAGACTGATTTCTTTCCTTTCCTTCAGTTTTCTGCCTGCTAGATCTAGCTTTTTTCAGAACTGATTCCAGTGAAGTGTTCAGTTTCTATTATTGATAAATATATATTTCAGCACCAATTAATATAATTTTCTTTTATTTTTCAAGATTAGGTAAATGGTTATTGATTTAAGGAGTGCCTAAACAAATTTCTTCCTCCACTAACAAGATGAGTGAGTTCTCTCATTGCATGGGAAGAAAAACACACAAATGTAAGTAAGCAAAAAAAAAAAAAAAAAAAAAAAAAGAAACATTATTTACTTAATTCAATATAATTAGCTAATTAAATACTGATATAATTAACACTAGACTCTCTTTCCAATACATCCCATGAGATTTATAGTAATACATAAACTAGCATAGCATGCATTCTTTCAGCAACTTTAACATTTTTAAATTTTAAAGCGACTTTCTTCATTTTTCTTTATTGATTTGAAATATTACATGGTTTTCACTGTTAGTAGGTTCTTAATTGTGCAGGTTTGTTTTATTCAGAGCTGCTTATTCATAGCACTAGTGATATGATAGATTACTTTTATATCTGTGTATATTACTTTTATATCTGTGCTTCTGTAATATAGTCATTTCATTATCTTAATCACTAAGGAATAATATGGTATGTAGAACTCATATGTTTTCAGGATTAATATTGCAAAATACTAGATAACATAAAAAGATAGTATATCTGAAAAATAATATACTTGTCAGGGCATGGAGAAGCTGTTAGAAAAATTATGTAAATACTGTCTATGCACATCGCAGAGTTTCTAAGCATACCACATTCTGGAGTTTGATAACATCTTCACATTTAACATTCTTTAGTCAAGATTTTTCTTTTGCTTGAAGATAATTCTTAATTTCTATCAGAGATCTAAATTGCCATTATGTTATAATTTTCTAATTTTAATACTTATTTAATATTTCTACTTTTTTTCAAATATCAACTCTTTTCCCTATGAAGTTTGAATAATAAAACATTTTTTATTTCTTTTTCTACCACACTTAAACTCCATTGCTTTATGGATCACCTCATGTAGATGAGGGTATTCATTGTAAGTTACACAATAACAAAAATAAACAATAAATAATAGATAATTAGAAAAAATTAAATGACAACTAAAAATCTTTTTTAAAAGCAATTTTTAAAAGATTTTTAATTAATTAATTAATTAATTAGACAGAGAAAGAGATCCCAAGTAGGCAGAGAGGCAGGCAGAGGGGTAGGGGGAAGCAGGCTCCCCGCTGAGCTGAGAGCCCAATGTGGGGCTCCATGCCAGGACCCTGAGATCATGATCTGAGCTGAAAGCAGAGGCTTAACCCACTGAGCCACCCAGGTGCCCCTAAAAATCTTCTCTTGATTAAAAATTCAAAGTGATATGTTACATATTTCTGGTTTTAGCCTAAGAAATAAACTTATCACTACCTCTTTTAGCACAATTGGTTCCTCAAGAAGAAATAGTCTAGCTCCCAAACTAGACTGGTCAAATGACTGAAGGTGGGGGGAAGAGGCACAAGAATTGTGCTCATATGCATACATTTTTGGTATACTAAAAGATGGCAATACACAACTCTATTTGCAATTGAATTTTCCATACAGTGCTCATGAAATTTAGGCAGGATTTATTTTAGATATCACAGGATGCATGGAGTTATCTTAAAAGGAAGGTAAATGAAGAAAGAAGTGATCATTGCCAGAAAAAAAAATATAATTAGAAACAGCAGCAACAGCATAGCTAATACATACTGATTCCAACTATCTGTCAGCCAATCCTGTAGCTAATTCATGTACTTGGTTTTTGACCTTCAGGACAACCTTGTAAGAGAGAAGATGGAAAAGATCACTTGGGAAAGACCCACACCTGTTTAAGTCTTCATGCAGAACTTAGTTTATTTATTTATTTTTTTAATACAACATGAATTATAGATTTAGAACCCTGGACCATTCTGATGTATTTGCTTCACAAAGAAAGATCATTATAGTTTGGGGGAGAACTGGTGTGGGAAAAGTTTCCCACATTAGTTTTCTTTTCCTTGCCTTGCTAAATCTAAATGACATCACTTATCTGGTGTTTGTGTCACACACACACACACAGACATTCCTATGTATCATTCAGAAGTGATTCTCCAAAGAAAAAGAAAAAAAAAAAAAAAGCAAACCAAGTAGACTGCTTAAACTATCTTTCTGCATTGGTTCTTGAGGCGTTTTTTGTTTTGTTGAGTGGGGTGAAGGTAGGACAGTTTATTTGGAGGGAGGGTAAGGAAGATCCACTCTGCCTACAACTTTGAGAACATTTCTCCATCTGCCTCTTTGATAGCTCAGACACACTTCTGGGCTGATCACTCTGAGTGGTTCGGCCACTCAGGAGTACCACCCTGCCGCTACCAAAACTGCCAAAGGGAGAAGGACGGGGGCGCTGTCTGGTGACTGTTCGCAGGATTCCTTCAAGGCTGCCACCACCTCCAGGGATCCGTTCTTCCACATCGCGGGTCGTACTTGGGACCCACGACCGCTACACAGGGCTGCCAAGACGCTGAACCGCCGGGCCGAGGCTCTGGAGACAGAGTCACCGCGGGGCGCCCTTTGCAGCCAAGCCGCGGGCTCCTGGCATTCAGAAAGCGCCCCAGGCCCACCTCGGCCGGCCCGGCCGTCTCGCCGCACCTTGGGCTCCCGAGCCAGGAGTCCCCCACCCAGCGCCACTCCCGCGCCTCCCCCAATCCCAGACCCCAGCAGCCTCGCCGCCGCTCCCGGAAACAAGCCTGCTGAGCAAAGGCGGAGGAAAACCTTGGGCCTTCCGCTCTGATTGGTCTCCCCCCGCCGCGCGGGGCGAGACAGCGATTGGCTGCCGGGCGTTGTCAGTCGCCGAGGCCGGAGCCTTCGCCGGGGAAGCGCAGGCGGGCTCGGGTGCTCCGGCTGCCGCCGCGGCTGCTCGAGCTGGTGCAGCTGGGCGAGCTCGTGCGGGCGCCGGCGCCGCCGCCGCCTCCGCTGCTGCCCACCCCGCCGCGCCGCTGGCGCTGCCGGTCTTGCTGGCGGCCGCCGGGGAGGGGCGGCCGAGAGAAGAGCACGAGGAGGCGGAGGCGGCGGAGAAGTGATGCTAGCGCGGGGGATCCGGGCAGCGGCATCGGAGCAGCAGCATCTCCGGGACACCGGCTGCAGCGTCCCTGTGGCCCGCTGGCCAGCTGAGCGGCGGGAGACCGCGCGCCCCGCGGGTAAGATCCGGCCCGGCGGCGCCCGCGCGCTCCCGGGACCGCCGGTGTTGTCTTTGGGGGTTACGAGGCTTGTTGTGCCCGGGGCATCCTGACAAGGGTGTTTGGGACCCGGACAGCGAGTCCGGACGCACCGCTAGGCTGATGCTCGCGCCGGAGCCGCTCCTGTTCGTGCGTTCTCCCCTCGGCGCTGCCCGACTTTGATAGCGCGGAGATGGCATTGTGTGGGTATAAGCGTGTGTGGGCGCGCTGCTTGGGGCACTTCGCAGGGAGCGCGGTGGGTCCCCTCTGACGTGAGCGGGCGTCCTTCAGGGATTCAGGCTGGGCTGGAGTGAATAGGTTTTGCCTCTTAGCTCAGCGGGAGCGAGAGCACGGGGAAACCCCAGGGAAGTCCACCGTGGCTCGTGAAGAGCCGGGCAAATTGAACTTTACTGCTTTAATGAAAAGAGGGAGCTGTGCATCCAGCGCGCCAGGGGACAGGCGCATTCGCCGAGGCTCCCCAAAGTCCCACTTTGCGCCGGGGACTTCAGAGGAGAGGAGAGGAAGGGAAGGGAAAGTAACGGTTAGTCCGCCTCGCTGAAGAGAAAGACTAAAGGAAAGGAGGAGTGCAGCTAGGCTTGGGGAGTGGCGGCTTTTTGTCTGACGCTCCTGGTGGGGAGCTCATTCCACTTTTCCGGAGCGCAGATATGGGGATGGAGAGTCCCGCTTTGAGGGGCTGTCAGAGGCCGCTCCTGGCCCACGCCGGCGTGGGACACGCGTGTCAGCAACCCGACCGCGGGGCCGAAGCGGGGCGGGGCTCGAGCCTGCGTCCAGGTGGAGCCACTGTCTCTCAGGGCAGCCTTGGCCCGCGTATCTTCCGGGGTCGGGACCCGGCCTGCAGCACCGGGGCAGCTGCGGACTGCGGGCAGCTCCGCTCTCCGAGAAAGTTCCGGCCGGCTGGGGTCCGGGCAACCCAACCTAGAGCACGTTAACCACAAAGTGGAACCAGGTTTACGTACCCAGCTTCCTCCAGTGCCGACGCTGCTTTTATTCTGTATTAAATTATTTTCCCTGTAAAGCCTTTGGGAGTTAGACCCACGCTGCAAACCTTTCTGCAAAAGGCGGATTTTATGCGCTGCTGTAAATGGATGGTGTTGCCGGGTTGAGTCCGAATCTCGTAGCTCAGTGGAGTGGTTTCTCCATCCCTCTTCAGGACGCACAAACTTACTCTTGGCGATTGCTTTGTATGTGGCCTGTGTCTCCTTAGGAGTCTCTGCTAGGGAAAGTTCCTGAAATACCTCGGCACTAACGAACTGTCCCTACTCAGGCGCAGATGGAGAGGGACTGTGTTCTTTTACAGAGGCGATGGGGTGGCAGCGGGAAATGGAAGTGGAGAGGGCAGCTCCCAGCTTGCCCCTAGAATCTTTGGAAACCCATAAATTGGCTCAGTACAGGGAGCCGGAACTGAGAACAGCACTTTCCCTGTTACGTAGCTCCTTAGTCTCCTTTCCCTGGAAGAATCTTTCGCCTCCAAACAAAACACAACACAACAAAAATAAAACCCAGACCCAAACAGCAGAAACCACTTTGGTCAGGCTCATTTTTGATTTGGTAAAGCCGAAAAAATGAAAGTGAGACACCTAATAGAAATCCGGGGATGGGGGGGTGGAAATCAGGAGGGAGCTGTCCAAAATGTCAGCATTTTTCACGTTTTTAATTGTAAAGGTTCCATTTTCTCCCAATTTTGTAATGTAAATTATTCTGTAGCGATGAATAACTTACTGGTAAACTAGCAGTGATAATAGTTTTTTTGTCCGAAGATGGTTGTACATTTTTCATCACTTAATTCGTGAACTGTAAATGGAATTTTTAATACTCTTTTTTAGTTGAACACTTACACTATGCATTTGGGCTGGTAGAAAATTGGCAATAAATGTTTTTCCTTAAGTAGTCATCACATGTGTCTTAAAAGTCGAGTTTTCTGATATAATTAAAGAGAGTATAGGGACGCCTGGGTGGCTCAGTTGGTTGAGCGGCTGCCTTCGGCTCAGGTCATGATCCCGGCGTCCTGGGATCGAGTCCCACATCGGGCTCCTTGCTCGGCAGGGAGCCTGCTTCTCCCTCTTCCTCTGCCTGCCTCTCTGTCTGCCTGTGCTCGCTCGCTCTCTCTCCCTCTGTCTCTGACAAATAAATAAATAAAATCTTAAAAAAAAAAAAAAAAGAGAGTATAGCTTGTGGTTGTTATGTTTCAGTACCTGCTGCCAGGTGATTAATTTAATGTTGCAATATTTTAGTCATTCTAACTTTCAGTACTTTATTAAGATTATTAAACACATTAAGCAGCTGATTTTAGTTTTGTGTTCCATTTGTGAAATGCTATGAGATGGTAAAATAGTTTTCCCCTATGGATTGATATGGGGAAATTAAATTAAAATGTGTTTCAATAATTAATAATTTAAATATAATATTAAGTTAAAATGAAGTTATCAGTGTTAAAAGTGGAAATTTTGAGGAATATTTTAACTACTTAGCTAAGAAAGTGGTTTTTCACATAGCTGTAAAGTAACATCTTGTAAATCCACTGCATTATGTATTGGGCTAAGCCACAAGTCTTTAAACAGAAACAGAGCTTTTGTGTTCATTTTAAGGAGTGTGTGGGTATTTTTAACCAGGGGAACTTTTACTTGGGGAGATTTGTTTTTGTTTTTGTTTTTCAAATAATTAAATACATTTTTAAAACCGTATCGGGTAGATGTATTTATCGAATGTAGTGAAATGCATCAAAGAACATAAATATTAGGGTAAAGCAGTAAGGTCTATGACTGAAAGCAGATATGAGGCAGGATGTGTGTGTGTGTGGTGGAGGAGCACAGGCTTAAAGGAGGTAATACTGCCAGCCACTTAGTTTATATGAGCAATTCAAGTTCTGCCAGTTCTGCAAATTCACTTCAGTTTTGACTTGTTTTGCTTCAGGGCAGCCCAAGAGCTCAGACTGCCATATTTTCTATATGGATTTTAGTAAATGTCAACTTGTCAAGTCTCAGGCCACTAAATTCACTTTTTGACCTATACCAGATTTTACTTTCAACACTGCATAACTTTTCTAAAAATATCACCTTTACTATAAATAGTGCAAAAATATTATGATCTTATTAAGTAAACATTTCAAATGTTTGAAATATGTCAAATAGCCATGATTAGAGTTTCTATATTATTAGGTCAGGTAGTGAGATTTATTTAATTTTATTGATAGTGCCTTGTTTTCATTTAAGTAATGACCAAATCAGTTTTTAATTGAAAACTAACACACTTAGGGGACTGGAAAACCTCAGCCAGTTTAGTATATCAGAAATTCATTGTGTTGTCTCTCTGTCTCATGCAAACATACACACATATACTGGAAAGTCTCTCAGGACAAGTGTAAACACCCTCCATTAGAAACAAATTCACCAAACCATCCTGAATAATGAAAGTACCTTATAAGGCAAAAGCTCATCGTCTTAAGTAATCTATTACTAATTAATTATGATACTGGTTTATTTGTTTAATAATTTTAACAAATTTATTTGTTTAAAATTTAACAAATTCTATGTTTCTGTGATGTACAAGACACTGTTCAGGTTGCTTTGACTATATAAGAGAATAAATCACAAAGGCCCTTGCCCTCATGAAGCTTATATTTTATTGGGGATGAAATAGATCATAAACAAGAAACATAATAAGTAAAAAAATGTACAGAATATTTATCTCTCCTACTGACCAGTTTTTTCTAAATCTCCATCCCATGGCCCCATCTCTTTGCATCTCATTTTCTTTCCAAGTAATATACACCTATCCACACACCCACATAAATATACTCAATCTAAGAACTGGAAAGTAATCATGGCGATAATCTAATACGTGTTACTCATGAAGCAATATATCTGAACAATCACAGCCTATCTAAGATGAAGGTTAAAGGTAAGAGAGGGATGCAAAGGTGATTAAGCAATGAAATAACTGAATATCTGCCCTTTAAAATGCTTTAAAATCAAATTATATTTTTCGAAGGAACTGAAATGGGAAACATTATCATTTAACAAATTTGTTTCAATTAACAGTATCTTAAAAGGCATTTGTGGGGCACCTGGGTGGCTCAGTGGGTTAAAGCCTCTGCCTTCGGCTCAGGTCATTATCCCAGGGTCCTGGGATCCAGCTCCGCATAGGGCTCTCTGCTCAGCAGGGAGCCTGCTTCCTCCTCTCTCTCTATTTCTGCCTACTTGTGATCTCTGTCTGTCAAATAAATAAATAAAATCTTTAAAAAAAAAAGCATTTGTGACTATCCAAGGTCAAATCTACATAACCTCATTTAAAGAGGATGAGTGAATTAGAAGTAGTAAGGAAAGATCCAAAAGCACAATTTTAAAGAAAAATTTTCTTCTTCCACATTGAGAGTGACATACTCATATACCTCTGTGAAAGTTGATCAAAAATCCTAGCATCTGAGGTCGTTTCCCTAAAGTTGATGCATCAGAAAAAAAGACCCATGATCCAATTCTCTAATAAAAAATTACCAAAACACTTCAAAAATTTCAAAATAACTTTGCCTTTATTTCAAAATCAACTTGGTTATCCAGGCAGTCCAATTACAGATAAAACATTGTGATAATTTCTCATGTTCTACGATGCATAAAAGAGTGTATAACTATAATTCCAGTTTCACTTTCTGTACTTTCATATAATTATTTCCTTTAGGGTCTTGAGCTTACAGCTCCAAAGTTCTGTTTTGTTTTGGTTTTTTTTTGTTTTTTTTTTTAACCCTCATATGAAGAAAACCAAGAATCTAGCTTGACTTCCAATAATTGGTTTGTGAACAATATTTTCATATTAGAGGAAAGCTGAAATTGTGTGCTTAAGAAGCTGTACTATATAATGAACTAATGCCAACGTATTCACAAGTTCTATTATGACAAAATATTAACACTAACACAATGCTAACAGTCACTTCTGAGTGGATTTCCATCATTTAAGAAAAAATCTTCAAG